TATTAAACTACTAATATTTTACAAAGTAGATACAGTTACATTAAACTTATATTAGTCTAGCAACGCTCTATAAAGTGGGTAATAACACTGTCAAATGTTATTATATGTCCCTGTTGGAAAAGCGGTAAGTTTATGGACTTACAATGCTAAAACCTAAGGTTCAATTCTGCACGGTAGACACAGCAGATAGCCAAGTGTGGGTTTGCTCTGAAACAAACTGTTATCAGACTATTAAAGTTTTACAAAGTGGATACTGACAGAGTCATCTGATATTAATCGAATTATGTTCGGCAAAGCAATAGTTCCAGCTAGTCTACTTTTCCCCTACCTTTTGTCAAAAAGCCTAAAAGGTGGTGGTAATGGTTGTTGAGTGGGTGCCTTCTCTCTCACCTATCAGTTCAGAATTAGAAAAGAGCTAATGCAAATAGTCCTTGTGTAGCTTTGAATGAATATCTGAAACATGCAAACAAATATTATGCCTAAAGTAAAATTAAGCTATAGTGAAAGACAGAGTTATCAAAGTGAATTTGAAGCATTTTGTACAGTATACAAAAATGTTGTGTCATGTACCAATTCTGGAACGAGACAGTTAAGAAATCATAATAATGATAATAAATTGTTGATTACTGCTAAGGATAAAGGGCAACAGAGACTGAAAATTCAGAAGGAAGATTGCAGTGTCTATAATGCTCTGTAAGAGAGGCTGTAAGTTTGTCCATGATAGGTGTTCAAGGGGGGGTGCTCCTCAGACGATCAGAGATAAACTATCTCTCTTCAATCATTTGGGGAGGCTAAACCTCTTATAAGTGCTGCCCCTGGTCCCAACTTACTATATTTACATTGGACTTATAGATACATTTAGACTGTTTCCTGACTCAAAACTGTAGAAGTCAAACTCTTCTCATAATCTTAAGCATTGTTTGCTGTGTCTGATGGCCAAGTTCTATATCTTGAGATATTACAGAAGTTTTATGTTAAGGCATGCTCTTCCCAAATAAACGTATTATTGCGTCAGCGAGGTCACGTGACTATTATCACACCACTCCTTCTCTCGAATCTTCGGGAATTATCGGGAGACTACTAGATTGGGGGGTAGGCTGGTATATAT